GGAGGGTCGACGAAAGAGGGGGAGGCCTTCAGGGAGATGGATTGATACAGTGGCTGCGATGATGGGCTCAAGTATAGCAGGGATTGTGGGGCTGGCGCAGGATCGGGCAGTGTTTCGTTCTGCTGTGCATGGGGTCGCTATGAGTCAGAAACGACTCGACGGCACTTAACAACAACAACATCAAAAAGAAAACACAAAGGAAATTTATCTGGAGATCTCTTTACTTAAAATTTTAAATGGTATGTCAGAAACAATAAAGACAGAATTAAGACAAATACTTGAAAGTACTTACAAAAAGTAATTACAAAACTTTACATGCATACACCCCGCAAAAAAAATTAACAGCAAAAAGGGTTTTTTTGTTGTTGTTTGCCATCAAGTCGGCCCCGACTCACAGCAACCCCTCCTTGGGTTGCCGAGGCAGTATCACTGTGGAAGTAGATTGCCTAGTCTTCCTTCCAAAGAGTGGCTGGTGGGTTTGAACCGCCAGCCTTCTGGTTAGCAGTCAAGTACCTTAGGCACTATGCTACCAGAGCTCCTAAAAAGGGTCTAGGATCCTTGTATATAAATGGGTAAAGGGCATAGAGAATATTCACAAAAGAAGCAGCTCAAGAGGCTAACAAACATAAAAACTGTGCAGTCAACCTCATAACCCAAGAAATGCTCATTTAAAAAAAAAAAAAAAAGGATTAGTGCAGGCTCTTCTAAGGAGACAGTTCAGTTCTTACAAGGATGTGATTCACTCACTCTGTAAAGTAACACAGCCTTTCTAGGGGGAAAAATGTGACTTTTTAAAAATGTTTATATTCTTTGATCCACTAAATATACTTTTTTTTCCCTAAGAAAAAGTTTTAATCTGAGTTGTGCACTAAACTTTGACAGTTTCTCACAGTATTATGACGAGAAACTGGGAAGAATGTAAATGTCCAGCAGCAAAAGAATTGCTAACGTATACTCATATCATGAATGTTTTAAGAAGCCTTAAAATTACGCTTTTGAAGAATATTGTATGACATGACAAATATGTATAAGAGACCCAGAGTCCAGATTACTGTACTATATACCAGGCATGAACCTAGTTTTTGTAGATAGAAAGTATTATAGATACACTTAAAAAGTGGAAGGAATAGAAATTTTAATGGCTGTTTTACTAGATTGTGTTCTCACAGAGGTGAATTTTTTATATTTTAAGTGCTTTGGGTTTGGAGCCATACCCACTGCCATCAAGTTGATTCCGTCTCATAGAGACCCCTATTGAGTTTCTGAGGCGGTAAATCTTTATGGAAGTAGGTTGCGCAGTCTTCCTTCTACAGAGTGGCTGGTGGGTTTGAACCTCCAGCCTTCTGGTTAGCAGTCAGATGCCTTAGGCACTGCTCCACCAGAGCTCAAAAAAAGCCAGAGCAGGATTAGTTGATCCTTTTCTAGTTTGCTCATTTCTGTCCTGTACTCAAGTGATTTCATTTCTGAAAAAGCTCCTCTAAAGACAGAATAATCTGAACTATAGAAAAAGTCTCCACACTTATTCAATCTATATGCTGAGCAAATAATCCAAGAAGGTGGACTATATGAAGAAAAACGTG